CACATGAGCCTCACCTTCAAGATGTCCTCTGAAATCTAGAGGTGGAGGCAAGCATTTAACAGAGCAATATGGATGTTAGTTAATGACTGTTGTGGTGTGTGCTACAAAGGGAAAATAAAGTGTTCAAGGAGAGTTAATAACTCAGGGGGCATAATATCTGCTGGGAGTTGGGGGACTCCCTCCTGAGGAAATGAAATTTAATCTAAGATGAAAGTCAAATGATCCTCAACATGGGAATCAAAATATCTAACTTATGTGTTTATGTGACTTTTGCATGAAATGGAAGCATGTTTTTTCTGATTGTCTTGATGTCAGAGTTTCAGGATGCCTTGATCACTCAAAGACTTAATTTGAGAAAATTAGGCCAGAGAAAGCCTACTTTTATATATAGAAAGTTTAAAGTATATAGAGTACTTGAGTAACCCACCTCAGGTTGGTCAATGATTCATTTGTTCACAGATAGTAGAGTGCCTACTATGTGCCAGGAACTGTGCTTAGTAATGCAAGTCAAGGCAGTAGTTAATTTAAGAATAACGTCATTACTGATATTCTGCTTCTCAAGTCACTTCATTAGTTAAACAGGAGTTATCCCTCTTAAAACGAGACTTTTTATCATGTATTGAATAAACAATGGTAATACTGTATATTTCTGATTCTGTGTTTATGTGATTGTTTAAAATAAAACGTGTAGTCTCATCCTGTGGGCTTCAGATTCCAGAGAGTGGGCACCAGTTCAGTTCAAGGAATCCTCAAATCCATTTCCCAGTAACGTGTTTTTTCAAATAAGAGATGATAAAGAGTTCAACCACTGTCATGAGGATGGTCCTTGCAACTTTTTCATAACCTTAAGTCTCATAGTGAGGAAGGATGGGCACCATGAAGCTAAATGATAAATGGGCTAACAGGCTCATATTAGTTTCACATATTATTAGCAGTCAGTGATAAAATATACATCCTCTCTGCTTTTTAATGAGCAGTCTAGTCCTAGAGTTTAGCAAAAGTAACTAAAGCTTGAGATTCACATTATACTTTGGTGTTTATTTTTTCATCATGATACTTAATTGTGTAATTTTACTTTAACAAACTTTGAATCTTAAAAGAATTGTCAGACTTTACCTGTATGTTGTTCTTTTAGTATGTGCTGCTTCAGCATGTTAATTTATTGGAAAATCCAAATATTTATATTTTCTTCACTTTGCTGCTCTCTTTTGTGCTACGTGCATCTTACAGATTGTATAAGATTTTAAAGCATTTAAATCGAATTGCTGCCACATACTTGTTTTTGGTTTTTTTTGTCTGCGTTTTATAGCAATTCCTACCAAAAGCCTCAGGAGGGAGAGTATTTTTCTTCTTAACCTAACAGGAGCAATTAGGGGCCAGATTGGTTTACTTGTGTTGCTTCTTATAAATCCGTTCAGGGATATGCCCTGTGTACTGTGATTTTTGCTTGATAAGCTAACCTGAACATTGAATCTGCCTTTTAAAACTAATATGTTGAGAGTTAGAAAAGTGAAAATATACTTCACATAAGCTGTTGAAACCAACGCAATCTTAGATATAATAAAAGAACGAGGTGGGTCAAAGGTATAGCTTACCTCAGCCTCGTCATTATGCAACTAGTTTAGAATGTTTTTGAAATATCACTTCCCTATACTTCCTCACCCTTCACCCTTCATCAACTGGTAAGCTTTGCCTTTTGTAAATCTTTATTTTAAAGTTACCTTAACATCCACTTCTTTAGCGTGAAATCTTATGAGGTATCTTACAACTTGGGAGTTACCGTTTTAGTTAAACCAGATTTGGGGAGCATTTCTCGCTCTAAGGCTAATAATTTATAGTATCTGAAGGAAGTTTCAGGCCAGAGGATGTAATTTATTGGCTATGATCATCAACTGACTGAATGTAAGAATGTGCCCCACATTGTGAATCATTGACAAAAGAAGGAGGGGAAATTAGTTTGGGGGTTATAAAATTCGAGGACAGAGATTGATGGGCATGAGGGAAATTACTGTTGTCAGCAGAATGGCAAGAAAGTGAGAGATGACAGTGGGATTAGTGAAGATCTCTTGGAACCAAATGGGAAAGTACTGGAGAATACCCTCTTCTCCACTCCCTGACCCCCACATTTGACACCCCAGAGTGGTGTGTGGTCTCTTAACACCTTTCTTGTCAAAAGTTTCCACATGCTCCATATATGAGCTTTTCTCTATAGGAATCTTGCCCAGGTGTGGAAATTAACCGGAAAAAAAAATAGTTGACTTGAGGTATTCACTCTTCAGCTACTTGGCCCCAGAATGTGTTTGTTTCTATAATTACTGCTAATTAACTTCTATTCCAGTACTTTAGAGCTCTGTCTGCAGTTATTCCTAAATTAAGGTTGTGTTTGGTAGCATTTTGTCTAATACACAGAGACTTAGGCCTGGATATAGTATTTCACAAATTGAGTTGCCTCTATAGGAAAGAATCTAGATATAAATCTCTTAGTTTACCAAGTAAAGTAGCTGCTAATAGGTGAACATTCTGGTCTATATTGAGACTGATTTTCATGGTTAGTTTATAGAAATCCATCCTAGTGTTTTGTAGGTATTAGGTGTTGGATTTTATTCAGGATTATGAAACGTTTACATTCTTCCAGGCCTTAATGTGCCTCCAGTACAGCATTTTCAAAAGTCTGCTCCATAATAAATTAATCAGGATGTGAATAAGTATAATAGGGAAAAAGGATTTTGTGGTCAAATAAGTTTGAGGAATGCTTGATTAAAAGAATTTCCTTAAAGACTCCAAACCCTTTAATACGCTTTTATGCATTGAGCTTCTCCAAAGGAGGTGTATTTGGTCATTTCTTAAACTTATTTAATTAGAAAACCTCTTTGGGCGAAGGACTCTACAGAACAAACGTACTTTGGGAAATACTTCTATAGTCTCCACCCCCTTATCCTACATTGGAGGCTAAGAGATGGATCCAGCAGTTTGTGCTAGTATTTTTATGGTATCCACGGAACTGGGGAGACATCAAACTCCTGATCTGCAGTGGGCCCAAGAGATGATTCTTTGTAGAAAATCAAGAAAGGGCCAGCCCTCTGAAAAGACTATGTGTTATTCCAACAGTGAAAAAGAGGAGGGAAAAGTCTTTAAAAACATGCAGTGATTGCTTGGCTCTTGGTGTCTCTGAAGCAAACAGGACCCCTGTGTGGAGTGTTGATCCAGGAGAGTGGAGAGAAGGAAATGTTTTCTAGGAAAGGAAGAGAGGAGAGTACAGAGTAGACAGAAGGGACACAGCAGCAGTGTGGGCAGGAAAGGCATACAGGCCTTCGAAAGGCCTGGCTCACCGAAGCACTCCAGTTAGGCGAGAGGGTGCCTAATAGGATTATCAAACACCTTGGCCTCAGTGGCACCAGGCAGTCCTGACAGCTTATTACTTGAATGGTTTAAATGGTGTGGATGTTCTTTAATACAGCAAATTTATGCTTATTTCTGACATTGGGCATAGCCCATATATAGCATCAAACCCTTGTTTTCGATGGTCACTCCAGCCTCCTTCCATATCAAACTTTTCACCATAACTGAGATTTAGGCCTTTCCGCACCATCTAGCAGTTGTGCTAATGGGCACCGAGAGGGCTTGGGCAGTAGAAGAGAGGTGGGGAAAGTATATTGAACCGAGAAATGGATCACCAAACGTTAAGGGTCACTGTAGAATGAATGCATTTTCAAAGGGTGGAGTTGAAAGCAGTTGCTTGTTTATTAATCTCATAATTAAGTTGTTCAGTTCGTGCCAATAGTATGCTTAGTCTAATGAAGATACAAAAGCCTCTTGACACGTGTACCCAAAACAGCTATAAAATAATATTAACAGAGAAATAGTTTGACACAGACAATAAAAACATGCTTAAAAAATTCAGAGTAATGGGAAAGAGGCTTTGCTTAAATTCTGCCTTTTCTACACTCTAACTGAGCCCAGTTTCTTCTTAAAGTGGGCATGATGGTATAGGTCATATAGTTCTGATAATGATGCAAAGTGATAGCGTGAAAGCACCTAAAACGGTCTGTCGTAGTAATTTATGAAGTTGCCCAGAGAGTTCTGTAAAGGAGAAGTCATTTCCTTTGATCAGATTTAAATGATCTCTGGGAGGGAATTTTGAGTTAAAATCTGGAGAGTAGAGGAAACCATTGGGACCAGCCAGAGATGTTCTTTGAGAGGTCGAAGGCAGGGCCTCTTTCCTTAGCCTTCTGGTAATGGAGGCAAAGGGGGAGTTAGGGGAACGTAGTGCTCATCGTGTAGTGACTGGAAAGTATTGGGCAGAATCTAGGGGACCATAGCAGTGCAGAGGCCAGTGAGCAGTATGGCATATGGCCTGTTGGGGTTGAAATCCCCTGATCAGTAAGTCTGCTTATGTCTGTAGCAACAGGAAAAGGATTGTGCCCTTTGACATGTGCTAGTTAATGGCGACAAGGGGGGTCATACTAGAGGTAAGAACCAGACAACTAAGGAAGAACTTCGGTAATTCAGGAATGCACAGAGAAAATATTTATTGAGCTATATTTCCATCTCTAAGTAATTTTTGTTTACTTTATTAGTAGCACCCGCTTGAAAAAATATTGGGAGAGAAAAAAGTGTTGGGTTTATTCCTCTGATACATCATATGCAGATTGTCAGCTATATTTCAAATGTGCAGTCTCTAAATTGTTGACAAGTGAAAGGACAGAAAGAGTGTAAATGGATTGTCCTTTTGCAAGCCCTGTGTGAGTTCTCAGTTGTGATGGGAAGGAGACGCTCTTTCCTTCTGAAGTGGAGCCCCCGCCCAGTGAACTGTCATTGACAGGGTGGGGAGGATTGATTTTTATTCTGTTTCTCTCTTAAAGCATGAAGCTTCTGGCAATACGGACACTTTATTTTTCATTCTTTTGTGTCATGGCCAACCTGATATGAAGCTTTCTGAATTTTTTCTTTCCTGGGCTGCTTTTTTTTTTTTTTTTTTTTTAGAAACATTTATGTCACATAATACAGCATTCTTTAAAACAGTGAAAATCCTTATATTCATTTCTCATGGGCTAGAGCAATACAATCAGTCATTATGAACAGTTTTAGTATAATTATTTCTTCTATCCTTTATTCTGTCTTAAAGTAATCATTTAATTATCTTCTAATGGAAAGTGATATTTAGAAAGTCCAAGTCAGTGTTGCTTAAAAATAGAAACAATAACCGAAAATAGTTTAATACGATTGCATCACATGGTTGATTTCCAGACATCCTGACTTGCTGGCTTTTTCCGTTCCCCTTGACTGACACCCGGGGGTCTCATGCACTTCAATGCCTGCCTTCCCATTGCCTCAGCTGTCCGTGGTTCTTGGACTGTTATTGGTACTAAGGAGCAGACCGTCTGTACTCATCAGGTTACTCTGTGTCACCCTGAGGTTTATTTTAGCTCCAACATGAAACAGAAGCCCAAAATGCCACATGAAATACTAAAGAGGAACTCTAAATGGACTAAATCCTGGGTGTGTTTAGAGCATCCCTCTTGCAAAGTCAGAAATTGTTTGATGCATGAGGTGTGGTTATACTGTGTTTTAAAAAGCCTCGGCAAGAACATCTATGCTGTTTTTTCTTAGAAGAAATTCTTAAGATATTACTTAAAGCCCCTATAAATAATATAGATGAAATTAGAATATGTTATCCCACGTTTGCTATAATAGTAATGGATAGAATTGCTTTACCAGCATAGAGAGTTAAAGTGTTTTGCCCTTGTAATGTAGAGTGTGTATGACCCCATTACAGTAGTAAATTGTTTGGTGTTAATGTTCAGTTTAATTATTGAATTTTCCTCTACACCCATCTGCAGAATAGCTATGTGACCTTAAGCAGGTTTGCAAAATGAACTTAGTAATATCTGCCCTTACCTATCTCAGAGTGATTTCTTGATTTAAAAATGAGATAGCATCCGTGAAAGCACTTGAGAGGTAAAAGTACTCTATGAAGGCCTAGTCTTAGTGTTCTGTTCTCTTCACTTTTAATTTCTTTCTCTTCCCACAACAATGTCCACCACGAGCTGATTTGAATCAGTGAACTCTTCTAAACCACCTAAACCCAGAATAAATGGTAATAGGTGACTTGTGTCTTGTTCCCTCACAGTTATTTTCCCATCCCACAGCTTAAACTGGAAGGATGAATGTGTAAGTTTTAAATTCACTTTTTGTCTTTAATTTAGTCATCTTTTTGGTAAGTGTTTATTTCTGTCCCCCCTCCTGCCTCCACCTCCCGAGAGATTTGCATAAATCTCATGTAACAGTTCAACAAGTGACTAATGTAGACTGGGCTTGCTGAGTTCCTGAGTCACTTTATTATGAAACACTCAAAGTTGAACATCTATATATAACAATGAGGAAATAATTTAAAACAATTTATACTTTCTGATCTGATGGTTTTAGTGACTAACTCATCAGGCCAGAGTGAAGAAGGAAATTAATGAAAATTCACAAAGCCAGACAAAATTAGCCTGAAAAGAAAGTCTGAATAAACCACAATCACCTTTACTTCCTTCTCCCCCTTTTCTAAGCAGTTGGTGTTTGGTTGGTAAGAGTGTTGGCCTGGGAAAAAAGATCTGGCTTCTACTCCTTGTTCTGCTGGGCTGTGACCTTGGACAAGTCATGTAACTTCTGTACTTGAGCTTCCTCATTTCTAAAATGAGAGTAATAATGTATTTTATCCTACCTACCTCACTGGGCAATTGTAGATAAAAATGAGATTACAAAATAGGAATGTGACCCCCAAAAAGATAAGTGGTTATATAATTATTACATCCTGACAGTCCTCATCTGACATCTCATATCTGAATGGCCACACTACTGAAGAGTGAAGGAGGAAAGGTACATTCCCAGTGTTTGGATATCTGAATTGAATCACGGAATACAATTCCCGATAGAAATAACATTCGATGGGTAGGTTTCCAGGCCTGCCAATTAAAATGATTTAATCATAACAGTTCATGGTGATCCAATTCCTGTAAAACTCTAAACCCATTGGAGTATGGGTATCAGTTTGGTGTTTAAAATGTTCTGGAGGACTTAACCTCGGTCTGGATGGTGGTGAATTCACCTCTCTTCTGGCTTCCCCAGTTAGTTGATACTTGCCTAGGGCTGTTGATGGTTTGATTTGGAAATGTCATCAGTTTCTACTCCAGTCCCCTGGCCCTTTGACTAAGAGAGTCTGAAACAAACTTTCTTTGCCCCAGGTAAGGGATGAGGAGCGAGCACTCTTGGAACTCTGACCCCTTGGATGATCACAGTAACCTTCGGTAAGGTAGACATGATGGACTCTGAGCCTCAGGAACATGCTCAGGTCGCGTGGTTAGTCTCTAGAGGTGGGACTTGAATCTTGGTTTTTTGAAGTGTAATTCAAGGCTCTTTCATGACCTCTTCATGCCTCAAGACAGGTGTAGTTTGTTGAATTGACTTTCTCTTGTAGTTTTCAGTTGGGATGAAGAATGCTTTTGTCTCATCTCAGTTATGAAGTATGCTTATGGTCTCACACATATCTTATTGTAATTTTACCAAAGGTAAAGATTTGGGACATTTAGTCTAAACAAAAAGTGACTCATCACATTGATTTGACATGCATAAGAGAGGGCTTCTGGTAGTATTAAAGAACTACTTGAGGAAAAGAATACTGTTATTTGGAACTGTTATATTAGAAAGAAGGAAAACTTTAGAGGAGCCAGTATTATTGACCCTTTAAGAACTTTTTGTCTGTGGTATATTTTAAAAGTGGCAGTGGTGTGAATATGAAGGAATTTTAGGGGTTTGAAGTAAAATAAAAAGAAATCTTTTTTTCTAGTTTTAACGAGATACTTTATGTTTCTATTTATTAAAATGTTCAGTTCTTCCCGTTATAACAGTAAGCCTAGCTAACATTTCTCTAGAGCTTGCTATATGCCAGGCAATACTCTTAAGTTGTATTTGGTTAACTCAGGTTGAGTAACTTTTTTCTTCTTGCCAGGTTAGCCTACAGATTTGTTCATGATCAGTTTTTATAAACAATGAGGGAGAAGTCTCTCCATGGAAGAAGGCAGTGATGTGGTCAGTATGTGGCGTTTTATGGAATGTGTAAAGAATGTGTCACTGGGATAGGGGAAAGAATACCGCAATTGGAATCAGAAGACCTGCCCTCATCCTTGCTCCTCCTCTGCCTAACTGTGTGACACTGGGCTAGTGACTTGTCATCTTAAATCTTCAGTTTCCTTACCTGTAAAAAGAGGATAATAGTACCTGATGGGGCTGTTGCAAGGATTAAATGAGATACTCTAGGTAAAGTACTTACCTTCATGTCTTCACAGTAGGTGAGGCTTCACAAAGTGGCATTCAGAAAATATTAATTGCCTCTTTTAATCTCCACACACAAGGTTGTTGTGAAATTAAGTTGGAAAACAGAGTATGAAAGCTGGCTTATAAATTTTTAAATACGGTCCCAGTGTTCGATGGTATTTTCCATTGACTGCTGCTGCCTTTAGCACTTCCAGAGTAAAATGTGTGGGGGAATCAAGGAAAACAGGTTATGGCTAAAAGATCTGGATTTTACAGGTGGCCACCAGGTCTGGAGATGTAGGTGACTACACAATAAATGTCTTAATGATAGAACATTACACTGCATTATGAAATAGTATTGTCTGAGTTTTCAAACTTGGTGGCCACCCTGTAGTCTCAGCTCTGTCACTTACTAGGTGTTTGGTTTAAGGAAGTTATTTTATCTCTCTGAGTTGAAGAATAAGAATAAAATTATATAAATTATTCTAAAAAGTGCTCTATAGTCTGTGAAGCATCTAACTGGTTTGGTTTTGTTTATTTTAACTTTCCTGTGGTACGCTGACTTTTTGATTAGGTTAGTGATGGATAGAATTAATTTTCATTTAGTCAGGAAGCCTTTCTTACAGGAGGTGAATTGGAAAGTGAAAAGCAATTTGATAGCTTTAATAGTGAGAAGTAATTTGAAATATCAGGAAGCCTTATTAATTATAGAGAAGGCAACATCAGAGAATTTGATAGGCTGCTAGACTGGAGTGAATGGAGCCGGTAAAGGATAAGGAGCATAATGAATTGCTGGAGCATTAGTAATTCCATAGTCTTTATTGTGTTGGGTGAGATGTGATAACTGAGGGAAAGATCCAGCCTCATATCCTTGGATTGCCTTCATTCTGTGCTGTAAATATATGGTATAGTATAAAGACAAGGGATTTGAAATCAAACACTAGAATTTACTAGATTCTTCATGGCACTTAGCAATGTTGGAAGTTAGCTTAGAGATTTAGAGAAAAATATAGTATCCTGAAAATAGATAGTTTGCTTATTTTTTTCGGTTCTTATGGTCGTGTTAAATAGGTTTTCTTATAGATACTTAGCAAGAACAGAAGGAAGAAATCAGTTAGCTTTCTCTTTCTGTTTGATTGCAACATAAATGGCAAATTCATTCTTTTGGTTAAAATCGTCTAGTTTGTGGATGGTGTGACTGGAGGACTCAGGGAAGACATGGAGCATGGGGGAGAAGCTTTTACAGCCCTCACTTCAGCCACGTGTAGCTGGGGTACTCCCCAGTGACTTCAGGTGCTGAAGGCTGGTCTTCCTGGGCCAGAATGCCCAGAAGGAAAGGGCTTCCATGAAACTTAGCACTGCCCCATTCTCCTTCCAGGTCTTTTGCTTTCTTCAGGATAGAAAACACCAAGAATATATATATATATCCCTCCTACTGCTGTCTCTCCTCCACACGAAGTCTCACACAGACTGGGAGCAAGAAATACTTCTTTCATTGTTTAGATTCTAAAACAAGATGCCTCTTTACTGCCAGATAAGCTTTACTATCACCAACAATTTGTATAGAAAAGAGAAGTGCATCCAAATGTGTATAAGAAAATTGAAATCTTCATTAGTTAGGACTTTTCTAGGGATCTTGAATTTTGGTGGATGTAATACAGAGTAAGCAGGTAGGGAAGGGAATGGAACGAAGGCTTTGTGTATTGAGAGTTGCACTGAAAGAACCGCAAAGTCAATTCTAAAGCAAAGAGGCTATGAAAGAAATTATGCTAGAAGGATGAGAACAGTTTAGATATGAAAAAAGATCAGGGGAGCTCTTTTTTATAAAACACAGTGTTTCTTACATTAAAAAAGGAAGTGTTAGAGAGATTTTTCTCAGTTCCATCTGCCCCTGTATCATTGAGGAGGTGAGAGCAAGAAAGGGTAGAACCTAACCCTTAATAGGAAAGTGTATGTTGAATGCCATCTGGGAAGCTTCTCTGTGACTGTCATTATGCCATTGTCGAAACTAACCTGAAAGTCAGTTTGGTTGTTCAAAGGTCTCCTTAATCATGTAGTTAGAATATTTCATTTGATAAACATTACCTGGCTTATCATTTCAAAAACTGTTGGAAGAATTTTTGAAATCACTAATCAATAGATCTAATTTCTACAGAACTTTTATTTATTTATTTGCGGGCTGCCCTTGTTAAAAACATGAAGTCTGTTATCACCAACTCGGTGATTGTGACAAATGGCTGCAAAAACACAGTTCTTTGTGTAACTGTTAAGCTATGCTTAAACAGGTCCCCTTGACGGGCTCTTGGGAATTTCTGCAGTATAAACTGTATTTAGAAGGAAGGAGAAAGTAAACATTGGGAAGAAAAGGAAAAAAACTCTAGTTCTTTTCTGCCCATTGCTTGTTTTTGAACTGCACACTGCCCTCCATGGCCATTGGGTCTGTGTAATATCATGGTTTCAACCCCTGTTCTCCTTGTTACCTCGGTCTGCCTTCCTGACATATATAAGGTATGCGGTAATACAAATAGAGTATTATTTTAGTGCCTAGTGTGTCTACCAGCGTAGTAGGTACTTTATACACATTACCATGTCTCCTCACAACCACCAAGCACAATAGGTAATATAACATTGTCGTGTAGATGAGGAAGCTAAGGCTGCCGGAGTTGTGGGAATTGCCTGAGGTTACACACCTAGTAAAAATGCAGAGGCTCCTGTTCAGTTGTTCTCTATTTGACTTCTCTGCCGTTGATAACTCCCTCCTTCCTGAATTGTTATATTTCCTTAACTGTCATGACAACACACATCTGTTTTTTCTTCCAGCTTCTGGCCACCTCTCCGTTGTCTCCTTGGTGGAGCCTACTTCATCTCTCCACCCATTAAACTTGGTATTCCTACCTGCTCTTTGACTCTTTTCTCTTGTCACACTGCACACTCTTGCTGAGAGAGAACATCTGTGCTTATAACTTGAATTACTGTCTTTGTGCCACTGAGGCCCAAATCCTTATTTCCATTCCAGATCACTTGTCTGAGAATCACACACATGAATTCATCATCTGTTTGACGTCTCCACTTAAGTGTGCTCCTTAACTTCAGCAAGTCCCGGAGACAAGTTTTCCCTTTGATTTCTTCTGGGCTTCTGTAATTTAGTAAATGGCAATGTTGTCCACCCACTTTCCTGCATCATAAACCTGGTTATCATCCCTGCTCCTCCTAGCTCCTCATATCTTGTATTCCATCTTCAAATTTTACTGATTTTCAAATTAACTCGCCCACCTCCACCCTCGTTTTCATGATCTTCAGTCTCTGATGGCAAGTTTCTTGCGTGAAGTGTTGCTCTCTTATGATGTGTTTTCTATCTAGAGAAACTCGAGAGAGCTTTCTAAATTGGAAATTTGATTATTTTGCCTGACTTTTTATTCTTCAGTTATTCCTTATTACTCTCAGGATTAAATTCAAACTTCTTTCCCCTGCTTAACTCTGTAGTCTCATTTTTTACCGTTGTTTTATGCTAGTTCTTGGAATATTCTCTTGCCTCTGGCCTTAGCACACGTTATTCTTTCTACTGGGAATGCTCTTCTCTCACATTCAAATAGTTAGCTCTTCTTCCCTTCACAAACTTAGTAGCACTCCTTTTTAACAGCCCTCCCTGACGTCACCTGACCTCCGTCCGCCAAGTATGTTACTCTCATGAACTCTTATAACACCATGTGCTTAAGCAGTTTTCATAGCGTTTGTAGCTATAACCATGTCTTCTCTCCAAGACCAACTCTCAGATATACAACTATCTTCTTTTCATTTCCACTTCATTTCATTCCCATGGGCATTTCACATTTAACCTTCCAAAACTAAGCTCTTGATTTTCTTTCTCCAAAACTGGCTGTTTCTCCAGACTTACCCACCTCAGAAGATGGCAACTGTACCATTTCAGTTAGTCAGGCTGAAATCAAAGCTGTCCTAAAAGTTCTGTAATTGTTTCACAGCCCCTATCTAGTCCGTCAGTAAACTCTGTTTCTCTGCCTTCAAAATATATTTGGAATCTGACCACCTCTTGCTACTTATTCGGGTGTCACCCCAATCTGTGCCATCACCACCTTTGCCTAGATGGCTGCAGTAGCCTACTAACATACCAAAAAAAAAAAAAAGATAGAGTATTGGCACTGATGTTAGCTCAGGGACAATCTTTCTCACCAAAAAAAGCATTCTGGGGATGTAATGTAACAAAAAATAGGAACAATAGTAACAGTATGATGATAGTAATACTAGTAAAAATAATAGCACCAATTATCATTTGAGTGCTTACTGAGTGCCAGGAAGTGTTCTGTAAGTCAGCGCTTTCCAGTAGAACTTTCTAGAGTGATGGAAATGTTCTGTGTCTATGCTGCCCAGAAAGGTAGTCACTAGTTACGTGTGGCTATTGAACACTTGAAATGTGACAGTGTGCTGAGGAACTAAATTTTTAATTCTATTTAATTAATTTGGATTTAAATAACCACATGTGGCAAATGGCTACTATATTTGTATTTCAAAGCTCTAAATTCTTTTTTTTTAAAGATTGGCACCTGAGCTAACATCTGTTGCCAGTCTTGTTTTTTTTTCTCCCTTCTTCTTCTCCCCAAAGCCCCCCAGTACATAGCTGTATATTCTAGTTGTAGGTCCTTCTGTTGTGCTATGTGGGGCGCCACCTCAGCATGGCCTGATGAGCAGTGCCATGTCCGTGCCCAGGATCTGACCTGTTGAAACCACGGGCCACCAAAGAGGAGTGCACAAACTCAACCACTCAGCCACGGGGCCAACCCCTCAAAGCTCTAACAAGTACATTAATTCATTTGATATTCATGACAACCCTATGACTTGGGGAGTTATACATGAGGAGACCGAGTTTCTGAGAGGTTAGTTAACTTGCCCAAGATTACACAGCTAGTATGAGGTAGACCTGAGATTGGAAGGTTAAATCCCTGGGTAATCTGGTTCCAGGGACTGTGCTGACACCTTCTATATTACACATCCTTCATGTCATTCACAAGAATTGAAGTTCCACAGGCAAAGGGTCAAGGTGACATGTCTGTGTTCTTGCTGCAAGGGAGGCTGAGAAAGTGAATTTCTGGTTCCTATCCCAGTGAGGTATTATTCCTAAGGTAGGAAATTCCCCAGACATGGGAAGGGTGTTCAAAAGATTCTAGACCAGTGAGCTTGGCTGCTCAAACTTTGTATTCTTCCAGGCTTAAGTTTTTGAACAGTTGCAACAACAACAAAATGCTCCCTACTGTCATGTTGCAGCTCTCTCTCATAAAAGTGAAGAACATACTCTCTCTTTGCCCAAAAGGGAGAAAGTTATAACATCTTATCGGTTGCTGTTGCCAAGTCCAGGATATTTGGGCCACACTTACTCCTTTTGTTACTGTGCCATTATGGTATTCTGTAACTAGTGAGCCACGAACTTACTTTTTATAAAATATTAGGAGAAAAGGAAAGAGGGAAATAATAACATAAATATGTATGTGTCAGACCAAGGAAGAAATATCAGTGGATGCTTCAGTCTTAGCTTTTGCTGTTGGTCCTGAACCCATAGTTGGTATTTTTAACTCTCTTTCTCCACCACTCATTCCATGTTCGTTTTGCCCTTTGCCAACTCTCAGTTGATTGTATGTTTTCATCTGACTGTAACACCTAGGCTTTCGTTCCTGGGTATCTGTGTTCTTGATGGTCCCACCTGTATGGAGTTGTTTATGACTTCCATTATCTTTTACCACTAGACATGGCAAAACCAGGTGGTATTCCAGATTCCAAACACACACCTCCCTTTTCTTGTTCTGTGGCAGCAATCCTCTTTACCCTTGATAATCAAGATTCATTGCCCCAACCAGTTCTGTAACCTCACTTTTTATCTATCTGTTCAGTGTCATGAGGAGCTCAAAATTGCTAGGTTGCAATTTAAGCTTCCAAATCAGTGGAGGCATTGTTGAGTCCCCTGGTGAAATCATTCTTCTCTTGGTTACAGAGACTCTTAAACCAGCAGAACTAGAGTTGCAGCCATGGGGGAAAAAATGCAAGTTGGTTATTAGGTGTGATGAGTAGGGGAGGAGAAGATGTGTAACTAGTTCAGCTTTGTCCCTTGGTTCCTAGGCCCATATGTTCTGGCTATCAGAGAAACAATGTCATATATTGTTCGTGGATAATAAGCATCCTGTGGGACATTACTCTAACCTCATGAGGTGTTGTCTCCCAGGTAGCACTGGACTGAATCTTTAGTAGACGAGTTAGCATTCTGAAAGATCATCTTTCTGGATTCTTGGTAAGACCAGTAAGTCTTATTAGCATCAACCCATTGCTGTACTTTTTTCACTGCAAAATCTTGAGTGAGATACCGTAGTGATAAATGAGGCATTTAGTAATTCTGTGGATGACAGAGGGATGGTGGACAGGAAAGACAATTTCAGATTCAGAATAAAGTGTCTTTTCATCCAAGAACTAACAAATGACTGCTAAAGCTTGAGGATATATGCTTGAAATGAAGTATGTTTTCATAAAACTAAGATTAAATATTCATAAGTTAAAATTAATGTTCTTTCTGAGTTGTTACTTAGAGGCACATGCAAAGCAAAATTAAGTTGCAAGGGGGGTTCGATGAGTTGAAACCATCTGTCCTTGACTCAGCATGACCTTGGGCAAGACGCTGAAGTACTGTGAGCTGCCCATTCCTCGCATCTGTAAAGTTGGGATAATGATACTTGTGTCTGTAAGGCTTTGAACCACTCAGATGAAAGGTGCTTGCAAGTGCAAAGTGTTTGTTATTGTTGTTAATAACAGTAATAATCCTCATCTTACCCTCTCCTCGGTATGACCTGTATTTAAATTGAGCAGTCCTTAAAAAGGTTGTCTGATCTGATGTGTTTCCTTCACAGCACTTACCACAGTTGGTGATGGTGTATTTATTTGACTATTTGAATAATACTTGTTTCCTCCCTAGATCCCAAACCCCCTGAGAACAACAGGGACCAGGTTAGTCTGTTTGCTATTTCATCTCCAGTGCCTAGCATAGTGCCTGTGTCTGGTAGGCAGTTGGTAAATATTTATTGAATGGATGAATAAATAATGCATGTTTCTATGAATTCTGCCAAAACAAACAAAATAAGGCAAAAAAACACACACAAAAAGACGCAGAGAGGCAAAATCAGCAGTTTGCCCCACCCACTCCCCAGTGTGTGAGAATCCTAATGCTGTATTCTGTGTAAATAAGTGATTCCTGTTGTTCATAATCTTACAATGGGAATGGCACCATGAGAAATTTGTAGGAGTAATTTTCAAAAGCATAAATGTTTACTAGCAAGTGCACATAGATGGCAGGTTGCTTCGCTCAACTGCCGTCTGTTAGACAATTGTCTCTTCTAACAGGATTGGTCCATTAGAACTAGACCAATAGCACTCACACATGTTTAAGTTTATTCATTTTCAAAATTATTCTGAAAGGCTTGAAGGAGGAAAGATCATTCCACGTCTGGTTGCCTGCTGCTCGATAATGGTGTGTTACAACACCTTGGCAAACTATGAAGTCCATTCGATGTGTCATAATGGTCAACAAGGAAGTATTCTCTCTTAAGTGTTTTGTCAGAAGTCAAACTAAATAATGGCACTAGGAAACTCACTCAACTACAAATAATTGGGTCCAACAGAGTTCAGTGCAGATTGTGCAATTGACAACAGAAACTGGCATGAAATGAAGGGTATAATCTATGCTCGTCATCATTAACGTGTGATATTTTTTTTTTAGCAGGGCAAAGGCAGTACAGTAAACTCTGTAGAAAATATAATGTGTCTCCCTATGTACATGCAATTAGGTTATACTAGTGAAAGCATAATGATTCTTAGCCTGGACATGCCTTTCAATAAAAACTTTACCAAGGTTTTTAGCTACATAAAGGTGGAGACAGTGTTGGCCTATATAAATTTACCCTGTGCATGACCAGTTGGATTGGTGGTGTGTCACAAGTGTGGGCCAACTTCCTTAAATGTCTCAGTGCTTATTGTAATGCCTGGTACCCAAGTGGGACTCAGTAAATATTTTTTGAATGGATGTTCTAGGACCAATTGAGGCAGTTTTCTCTGGATTCCCAGCATGAAAGCACTTTCCATAGGCTTAGATCAAGTTGGCTGTGAATTAGAACTTGGGATATTTAACGTACTGAGCAGAACACAAATCAAATTGCTTATCACTACTGTGTGCTTGTAACAAACTTCTAAAGGCTGTATGATTTCCAAAATGTAAATCACTGGGTATATGTTATTTTGGGAGCCAAACATCTAACAGTGGATGTTTTGGAGAGGGTAAATCCATCGGAGTCTTGGTTGAGTTACAAGAATGACTAATTTTATCCTAGATTCTCACATGATTCAAAAGTGTGTGAATGATTCAGCCCATTAATATCCTTAGCTCCTGTGATTTCCCCTCCCAGTGAAATGATAGCTATAAGGCAATAATGATAATTGGAGGAGGAGACCTTGACTTTGCCCTGTGGCAGTAAAATGACACACTTTGAGTAATTGCTTGTCTATACAATATTGTTTGAAAGAAATGAGGTATATTATCATCATATGCATATTTAAAATTTTATGTTAAAACATGTTGAAAATAATGTGTAGTTTCCTATGGGTAAGGACCGAGTTCTGCCTTTCGGTTTGATTGCCCTCCCCTTGCTGACATAAGAGAAATAGTGCAGTCACAGGCGTGCTGGGTTCCGATTAAATGCAGCTAAACATTCACAGGTGATTTTGAGCTGAAGCTGGGCATTTAGTTGGAGAGTCTGTAGAGCTTTTGGAGATCTGTGTTTCTTCCTATTGCTGCGCCATCTTTTTAAACAACTCATTAATTAAAAGTCTAGATATTTTGGAGTCAGAACTTTGTGCATCTCTCTACTCTTGCTAAATTTCCCAGAGACCCAGTCACTGAGTCCAGTGGACACTTCGCAATCCTTATTTAGCTTGACTTCTCTGCAGCATTTAACAGAAATTGAAATTCCTTCCTAGACTTTTGGGGCACTTTCTTTTGGTTGTCTTCTTAACTCTTGTACATTTTCTTTTTAGACTCATCTAGCTGCCCCATAAGTCTGGTATTCTCTGGAGTTCTGTCCTTGGTCCTCTTTTTTTTCGTTTGTATTTATTCAGTTTCCTTGATAATCTCATTCATTTCTACCGTTTCCATTGAAATCCATCACTGATTGCTCCACATGGGTGTTTCCGTGTCAGTCTGCTGAGCTGCAGACCTGTATATCCAGCCACCCTGAAGATATATGTAACGATAACAGCAACAACAGCTATTCCTTATTGAATATTCTCTAACAGCTCAGTGCTTTAATGCTTTGTTCCGTCTATTACTCTCTGCAACACTGCGAGGTAAATACTGATATTATTTTCTGTGTTCAAGTGAGAAAACTTAGGTTAGATGCATTTCGTTACTTTTCCAAGGTCATTCAGTTAGTAGTAGAGCCTTATTTGTAATCTCAAGTCTAGAGCCCAAGTTTTTAACAGTAAATACTGTGGATTAGCATGTCAGAATGGAATCCTTTACCTTCTCTTTTCTCCCCCACACCCCTCTTTTTCTGTTTTTCTCTGTCCTGCTTGAAAGGACCACATTTCATTCCTAAAGTAGAAGCCTGGAATTTGCACTAGACTCCCAAGTATTGTGGATCACAAAAGGACTTTTTTTTTAATGTCTAAAATATCTCACTTGCGTTGAATAGAGGTTTCATTTTCTTGGCCTTCAAGATGATATATTGTTTGGACTATACGTTGTTTTAAAAGCCAGAAAATGTCTCACAAATTCTCAATTTCTAACTTTTCGCTAAAAACCTGGGCTTGCTCTCTCGTGTGGCAGCAGTCATCTGGAGCTGTGTGGCAGCTTCCTCTCACCTGGGGCTTGTACCCTGTGTCGACACAGTCCTCACCACTTCCTGTTGTCCTACACTTATTGGGGGTTTCCTCAGATCCTTGCTTGTCCAGCCCTGTAGGCATTTATGACACCTGCTAAAGACTATTGTTGTGCTTTCTCAGCGGGTCAAGATCGTCTTCTCACTCTAGTTTTTGCCTTGGTGCTTGAATGATTTTCTCAAGTCAGATCTTTCACTTCCTTTCCCTTAGTGTTTTTGATTTCTTTTTCTCCAATGGCTCCTTCTTCTCAGTCCACAAACATGTTCAAGTCTCAAACATGCTAAAGTTGGAAGGAAAAAAATGAAATAAGTCTTCACAGTGCTGAAGTGGGTGTTCCTGATTCCTAATTAAGAGGGGAGAGAAATCTAAGGCCTAGAAGGATTGTCCCAAGAGCCACAATTCAGGGTGGACTCGGTTCTACCTGATCCCGAGGTCCCTGTTCTTTCTCCTCCATCATGTCAACTTCACTTCAAGCTACTATTATACTCTGTGCAAATAAACAAGTCCCTTTAGTTCTCTCTTTCCCATGCTCTACTTCCCATCTCTCTCTTCATCCTTTTCCACTAGGCTTTATTCACTCACTCACACAGAATTCCTTTAGTTTCTTTTCTCATCTCAGTGCAGTATAATTTGGCCTCCCTGTAATTTGCTCATTCATCAAGATCATTCGAGCACCAACTATGCAACAGGCAGTGCACTGGACACCAGTGAAACCATCCTTGCCTGCGAGAAGCTTCACAGGCTAGCAGGTTGAGACAGATAAATAGTCCCAGTGCAGTGTACTAAGTGCCTAGTAATTCAATCCAGTGGTCTCTTTTTAGCCCTCATCTTGCTTGAACTCTCTTGCATCACTTTTCCCAAGGGACAAGCATCTCTTAAGGACATTTTCTCTTTTCTTCTGTAGCATTCTTCCCTCCTGGTTTTCTTTATTCTTTCTAGAGTTACTTATACATCTCTCTTCTTTTTCTTCCTTTGCTGTCATTTTAATGTCTTTCCAGCTGCTTATTAGATCTGTCCACTTAGATGTTATACAGACATTCAGAATTGCCCTCTTCTTTCCTCAAGGAAATGTTATTTAACTAATTGCCCATGTTAAATATAAAGTATTCAGAGTCACTCCCAATCCCTTGTCTTCCTCTCACAAAAAGACTTGGCCAATCTCCTTCAAAAACAGTGTTACAATTTGACCATGTTGCCAGCCTCTCTGCCGTTGGTTAACATACAGCGAGAGCTTCCTTCTCCCTTCCTGTTTATAGTGCATTCTCTATGTTCTCGTGGTATTATTACTTTACTCCTTAAAATCTTTCAGTGTCATTCTTGCTGCCTGTCATGTCAGGTTTCACTTCCGTAGCCTGGCTCCCAATGCTCTTCACCATCTGTTCCTGATCAGCTTTTCTCGTTTAGCTTCAGTGCCTGGCACATAGAGGGCACTCACTGAAAACTGGATGGGTAAGTGGGTGGTACATTAAAACCTGACTTTTTGTCTCCCAAGGGCAGAATTAAATTCCCATTATGTAAGTTTGGTGTCTGCTAAGTTTACTTCTCAGGAGTTTCTATCATTTTTAAATTATAATGATGTAAGGGGCTGGCCCAGTGGCACAGCAGTTAAGTTTGCATGTTCCGCTTCGACAGCCCCAGGTTCGCCAATTCGGCTCTCGGGTGCGGACATGGCACCGCTTGGCAAGCCATGCTGTGGTAGGTGTCCCACATATAAAGTAGAGGAAGCTGGGCATGGATATTAGCTCAGGGTCAGTCTTCCTCAGCAAAAAAAGAGGAAGATTGGCAGCAGATGTTAGCTCAGGGCTAATCTTCCTCAAAAAAAAAAAAAATTCATTAACCCAGTGTATATGCTGAACTGTATTCTTCCCAAATTCATATGTTGAAGTCCTAATCCCAGTACCTCAGAGTGTAACTATCTTTGGAGATAGGGTTTTTAAAGTGGTTATTAAGTTAAAATGAAGTAATTGGGATGAGCCCTAATTTATGACGACTCGTATCCTTATAAGAGGAAGTTTGGACATAGACACATACAAAAGGAAGACCATGTGAAGACATAGGGAGGAGATGGCCACCTACAAGCCAAAGAGAGAGGCCTGAGAAGAAATCAACCCTGCTATCACCTTGGTCTCAGTTCTAGCCTCTGGAGCTGTGAGAAAATAAGTTTCTGTTGTTTAAGCCACCTAATGTGTGATACTTTGGTGACAGCCCTAGCAAACTAATACAGCCAGTGTCTTTTAATTCACTGAGGCTTTCAGTCCTGTGTCCAGGGACTTTATCCTTAGGAAAGGGGTGGACTAAGGATCTAACAGATCTCTCTTCCCATCTTAAATTTCTTTGAGGTGTTTTAAACTTGTCCTAGGAAAAGAGGGCCATCCTTACCTTTTTCAGACTAGATAACACTTAGCGTTGGCTACTCAAAGAATGGCTCTTTTTCCTTCCCCTTTTGGGATTATGTATCTATTTCTCTTGGAGATACAAACAAAGCAAGAAACCATTAAAAATGTAGTTAATCCCAGTTTATTGCATCGATTTAAACAGACAATGAATTTAATATTTTCCAGGCTCTCGTTTTGATAGCTAGAGTACAATAAGTTCTCCTTGCACTGGTTAGCTGTGCCAACTGCAGCATCAAATTTCCAGGGAAGATTTTTGCTGCAGTGACTTTATGTGTTTTACAGCAGTTCTCTTGAGATTCTGGCTGTGGGAGGAAAAAGTAACTTTGGATCACTAAATTTAGTTTATTCAGGTTTTACTAGCCACAGTTCAGGTTGCCATGTTGTCAACCTCAAAATGCCTACCCAGCCCCCCGCCCTCTCTCCAGCTCCTCCCAGTGGACGTACTGGAGCTAGGGAAATTAATTATGTTGAGTGGGCATCTACTCTGAACTTTGTGTGCTATGATCTTGAACTTGTTTTATCTTGTTCTATCCAGTATGGCGGTAGAGGGTATCTAGTCACCGTGGGTAATAGCTCTTATTCGTGAGACATAAAGCATTATTAAATTTCCTTTCTACCTTCTCTTTTCCAAACTGAGCTTTATTGGTTCTTTAGCCTTGTTGGACTTATTTTAAATTTTAATTACATGTAAGACTTGTCATTAAAGCCTCTCCGTGTTTTTCACAACTCTCTTTGATGGTGGATCCCGCACTGGTTGTGTATCATCAATACAACGAGAAGACAGTCAGTTCTTACGCTCTGTACTATAAATATATATTTAGGCATTTTAGTTTCATGCTTAATTTTCACTTTTGATTTAGCCGATAAAAACTTACAGCAAAAGAAGATTATATATAATTCTTTTCTCCATGACAAAGAGTATTCAAAGCAGATAAATTACAGATAACCTTTCGCCTTCATGTGCATTGATATTTAGATTCAGGGAGATCAGAAATAAATCCCACTAACTAGAACCAAAACCAAGAATTTTCTTTATTTATCTTGTAGTCTTAGCATTTCCTCTAACTAACAGGATGATAGTAGATAAGTCATTTAACTTCTTTCTATATCATTGTATTTATTTATGAAACCAAGGAAGGTAGAGGTCAAGATTTGATGATCTCTAAGTTGTCTTCCCACTCAGAAAATGTTCTGTGTTCACTACTCCTACGAATAAGAGTAGGTAAATGATGGGTTTTAGTGGGTGAGTGTGTTTGAAACTAATAAGATTAATTGATTTGAAACACGTATATTGAGTACTGCCTACTATGTGCTGGGTGCTGGCCACACAGCGATAAATCAAACATCTTTCAACAAGTTTACATTTTATTAGAGGAAAGAGACATATAAAAATAAGTGCAGTTGAATATTACTGGGGCTGTGGTGGAAATCTAAGGTGTATTGGGGCACAAGGGAGAGGTTGGTGAATTTTGTTTGGTGGCAGGAACGTCAGGAAAAGACCGTTGATTCAAGGGGCCAATTATGAAGCAGAAGAGCAACTGCAGTGAAGTGGAGGCACCAGAGCTTGACGGTGGTGGCTAAGGAAGTATAAACAGTGGAGACAGCTTATTTTTTTCGGAGGAGCTGGCCTATAAAGAGAAAATAACTGAGGGGAGAGGGCAAGGATCATAAGAAGTTGTTTGTATTAAAATATGGGAGTAAAGAGCAATTTAAAGGTTTTGGGAGGAAAGAGCGTGAAGAAAGGGAAGGTTTATTCTGAAGGAGATCAAGATGGAATTAAGAAAAACTTAAAAATAAGGTTGAGGGGCTGGCCCTGTGGCCTAGTGGTTAAGTTTGGCAATCTCTTCTTCAGCAGCCTGGGTTCAGATCCCGGGTGCAGACTACACCACTCGTTGGCGGCCATGCTATAGCAGCGACCTACATACAAAATAGAGGACTATTGGCACAGATGTTACCTCAGGGCGAATCTTCCTCAGAAAAAAATAAATAAATAAGGTTGAGGATGGGTTGAGAGGGACAAATAGTAGGTAGATATGTGAGAAAGCAAACAGGAAAGTGTTAATTGTGGCACCTAGGAGGTAGACGAATGGTAAAATACAATTCTTTCAACTTTTTTGCATATTTGAAAATTTTATAATAAAATATTGGGAGGGGAAAAAAAGGATATAGATTTAGAGTTGCCTTATTCCTTATTGTGGCAGCAGATGGTGAAAGTTCAAGGTTGAAGTCTCAACTTTGGTGACGTAGGAGCCAACCTCACCTGCTGGGGCAGAGGGCCAGAGAAGAGGAGTGTTAAGAGAATGAAGGATGGAATAACCAAACGGGGAGTAGGAGAGGCCACTGAGCAGGCCTGGGAAAAGGAAGACGCCATGATGCTCAGGTTCCGGGCAAGTTGGAGGACACAGTTGCACTGATGTAAGATTTTCTCCCAAGTTGTTGTCAAAAAGACAGCAAGTTAGCAGGGTATTGAAGGGATGGTTTAAGAAAGCGAAGAGTAAACGGGATGGCTGATTCCTTCCACTGTTGACCAGCAGTCCTAACCTCTCTGGTTCTCTGTTGGTGGGGGGAGTCTGTTTTCTACCTCATTATAGTATTTTTGTTTGGATGAAATGAGATAAAAATAACGTTTCGAAACTGTGTTATTGTTAACGTTTAACTAAGATAATGTTATTGTCTTCCTCAGGTAAAAGAAGAACGTCCAGAAAAAATACCAGATCTAAAATTGTTAGTGCAGAAGAAATTTTTGGCTCTACAGGATAAGAATTCTGATGCAGACTTTCAAAATAATGAAAAATTTGTACAATTTAAACAACAGCTGAGAGAACTGAAGAAGCAATGTAAGTCAGCATGCTTTGCTTTCGTCTGGCTTTTTGAAATTACGGAACTGACTTGATGAACGGTCCCAGGAAACTGATTTTATAAAGTTTGCTTATCTGCTTGGCTTGATCCTCTTTCTAAACTGCTTCTTATTCTTGTTGCAATTCTGTATTTTGTCTAACTTTTGGTTCAAATCAGCCTGTCCATTTCTGAAAGCCAACAGTTTCCACAAAGTGCTAAGAAAATTCCCCAGCAGCTGGAGACAGTTACAGGGTATCTTCCCACCGTTGGCGGGGGGTGGGGGTGGGGAGGTTGGGAAAATAAAACTGAAAATTATTTTATTAAAATAACAGTGGTGGTTTTCAAATTTTAAACTGCTGTGCCAAGCTTTAAAATAACTATACTTTGATTCTAGTTTTGCTGCTTTGGGGTAGTGGTATGAGTGTTTTCTCAGACTATTTTTTTCTTCTCAAATAGAGACCAAATCCTCTTGATCGCTTCTGTCTTTGTGCTAGTATAAATTCCATGTGATTTTTAAATTTGTTGCCTTCCTCATAAACTTTATTATACTCAGGATTTTTAATGAACATAATTTTGGTTTAAAAAAGAGTGGGAAAAATTATTTATTACACAAAAAAATTTTTGTAGACAGTGTTTGACAGAAGTATATCTTTTCTACACAGTGAATACATATGTCCTTTCTTTTCCTCTTATTCCATGTAATCCACGTAATAATTACATATAATTTGTTTTTACATTAGCATCACTTGTTCTTTCTTTTAGGCTTGAGGCTCTTTTAGTCCTTAAAGAATTGAATAGTGAAGCAAACAACTTTTTTTTTTAACTTTAGTTTCGTATCACCTTCATTTGTATACACATGGAACAGGAATGTCATATGATATGAGATATAAATTTACTTCATGTCCCTATTTGTACTTAATGTAGGGATTCATATTTTGAAATAGGCTTTCTTTTAAATATAAGCACTTTCTTTAAATTGATGCTGAGATCTCAAAAAATGACTGAGGAAGCTGCTTTACTTTTGTCTATCTTACAAATAACTTAGGTTTCACAATTTGGAATGTTTTGCAATCATGATGGGACTCTTGCTTTTACTTGGATTTAAACAGTAAGCATTTTTCCCACATTTTAAGTCTATTCTTTATTCTTCATTGAACATCACAGCTACCAAAATCTTTCTAATATAATTTGCAGTGTTCTCCCAGATGGGTAATAATTCGCAAAACAAGTAATAATTTGGTGGTGACTTTTTAATCTTAAAGATGCCAGTAAATTTCAATTTGGGTGTTGGTCAAAATAGCCAAGTAGGGGCCAAGCCTGGTGGCGCCGTGGTTAAGTTTGCACGTTCCACTTTGGTGGCTCGGGGTTTGCCGGTTTGGTTCCCAGTGTGGACCTATGTACCACTTGACAGGCCATGCTGTGGCAGGTGTCCCACATATAAAGTAGAGGAAGATGGGCGTGGATTTTAAGCTCAGGGCCAGTCTTCCTCAGCAAAAAAGAGGATTGGCGGCAGATGTTAGTTCAGGGCTAATCTTCCTCAAAAAGAAAAAAGAAGAAAGAAAAAGAAAAAAATAGCCAAATGTATTTTACTACTTGAAGTCATTAATGACAAATTATAGCAGATTTAGCATCTGATCATAATTCCTGATTTTTTAACGTATTTTATAATACAGATTGAAGGAAAAGTATCCAAAAATACAAATTTCTTCCTCCTTCATTATTGTTTACAAAGTTACTATTTCATAAGAGAAAACTGTAAAGATTTTTAGAAACATATACTCATGGGGAAACAGTTTCTAAATAAGAATATACAATTCAGCAAAATGATAAACGTTGGAATCATGGTTGTTGTTTCTTTAATTCTAAAATGAGGGAGAAAAAAATTTCTCCAGGGCAGCAGTACACATTATTTGGATAGACAGTTAAACCTGATGACAAAGTAAATTTATATTGAAAGAAATGCTTCCTTATATGTTTTCTCTGTATGTGGTAACACTGAAATTAAGACAGCTTTCCCTTTGTTTCTCCTAAAAAATATTCTTTTAAAAAGTTTTTAAATCTCAAATGACAGAACAAGAAAAATATTAATACTCTCTTAAAATGCTCTGTAAGATGTGTATACCTTACTTGCAGAATGTGATTTTTAATGCATTGTTATGAGCACTGTCAATTAAACTTTATTTCTTTAGATTTAATGCTGCTGTGAGGATGCTGATTAGTATTGTGCTGTCACAATTTTATGGAGCCAAGTTAAAGGAACTATGATTTTTAAAGGAGCCAGTGAATCTTTTTGTTTTGAGATATGTTCTGAAGGCAAGAAATTGCAATAATAATTTTTTTTTAAAGATTGGAAAATACAAGCCAGGGAGAGAGACTTGTTTCAAGCTACCTTTTTTGGCAAAGTAAAAGCTTAACTGTTTTTATGGTCTGCACATATCTGAAGGGTTCTTTCATGAAAATAACCACCACGTTCTTACCTACTTATTATACAAGAACATAAATTGCATGGGATTAAATTTTACCAAATTAGGATCTAATCAAAGAAATACCAGGAAGCTCTTAGGTGGGGAAAAGTCAAGAGGGAGACTGAAATCAGGTGGTCTGTGGGGGGTCAACCTGAGGTTGTGCCCGCCGTGCTGCCCAGGCGGGAGTCAGTTAGCCCGGCTGTAGCTCAGCAGCCTGTCCCACACTGTCTGGTCTCGGGCTCCCTTACATTCTTAATGTACCGAGCCCCTAGAGAGCTTTCGTTTACAGGGGTTATAGCTATGGACGTTTAGCATATTAAAAATCAAAACTGAGGAATTTAAAAAATATTAATCCATTTTAAAAATCAATAATAAACCCATTACATTTATCATAAAGAGGATTACAGAATATAACTGTATATTTCCCAAACATAAAGAAAAATTAGTAAGAAAAGTGGCGTTGTTTTACATTTTTACAAATCTCCTATTTCTGGCTCAATAGAAGGCAGCTGGATCTTCATACTTGCTTCTGCATTCATTCTGTTGTGGTACATTGTTTTCGGTTGAAGCAGGCAAAGAAAATCTGGCCTCACACATAGGTAGTTGGACTTACTGAAAGGATCCTGCAGACCACCCGAAGTTCTCACTGAGAACCCCAGATCTAAGCGAGAGGTCAGTAAACTATGGCCCTTGGGCCAAATCCAGCCTGCCTCCTGCAAGTTAAGAATGGTTTTTCACATGCGTAAATTTACATTTTTTGTTTGCTGGGGACAAAACAAGAGAAGAAGAATGTTTTGTGAAATGAAAGTTACATAAAATTCAGATTTCGTTGTCCATAAATAAAGTTTTATTGGAATATAGACACTCTCATTCATTTACCTACTGTCTGTGGGTGTATACCCTATAATGGCAGAGTTGAGTAGTTGCATGAGAGACCATCTGGCCCACAAAGCTTGTAGTATTTACTGTCTGGCTCTTTACAGAAAAAGTTTACTGACCCCTGATCTAAACCGTAATTAGAAACAAGGGCAAGTTTTTTGTCTTTTGTTTTTTAACTTTAGATTTTTCCATGAACACCCATACTTTTGTCTCGGGTACGTTCAGAACACTTTGCCTACCGTATATGAATCCTTGCAGTTCGTGCTCTGAGATAAATAAAAGACAGAGTCTCAGTACTTAGAAAAGACAATATATACAAACATGAAATAGTGTGTGAACCATTAATAACAAATAGCAAATCAAAGGCAGAGAAAAATGTCAGAAATGTTATACGTTGTGGGACCTAAATGAAGAGAATCAAAATAGGAATGCAGATTTTATCTGTGTGGCTAGTATGGGCAGTCGATTGATAGGAGCTGCCTGGGGCTGGATTCAGGCCCAGCAGGAAAGACTGTGCTGCAGGATTATGGTGAGAAAGAATAGGGGCAGGACAGATATCTGGTATTTACATCCCTAGGAGACAGACGTAACAGCCACACAATATTCATTTAAAGATAGGATCACTCTAAAAGTGACATACTCTAGTTGCACACAATAATTTTTTTTGGTAGTTATTTTTGCCTCATGGATATTACCAGATATTAGATCCAACTTCTTTGGACAAAACATTTTATCCCCAGGTACCTAGTGTCCTTCCTGTATATTAAAGATACTGTGTCTGCCCCAGCTTGCCAGGATTATTACCAAGATTAAATGAGATAGTGGATCTTTGCAAACTCTGAAAGCTTACTTTAGATTTAAGTTATTTTTGAGAAAGAGCTAGTACAGCATAGTGGAAAGAAAGCCAGAAGACCTGGGTTTGAGTCGCTTACTTTGTAGCCTGTCTCCCTGCTGACCCTACTGAGCTCCCTCCTGTGCCCCATTTTTCTTAGTTCAGACTCTTGGAGTCGTACAAACCAAGATTGGTTGAAGAGAATTTTTACACTTGGTGGTGGTGGTGATAACTGAATTAGGGAACAATTTCACAGAAAAGAATTCTGTTTCCCTAAATGGTAATCATCATCTTCTTACTAATTCAAGTTGTAAAACCAACAGTATGGTTTGGTTTAAGGCAGACATAACCAGACTTTCTTGGATGAAATTATTTTAATTTATCTAAACAATATGTTCAGGTAATTTTCCTTCTTCCTCACCTCTTTTACATAAACTGTCTCCACTATTACAACTCATGGTCTCCTGCAGTTTTAATATCAAGAGAACTTAATTAGAGTGTGCAGATACCTCTGTATAGACATTTTCTCAAGCCATCGAGCAATCTTTCTTTCATCCTTTATTCATTTGTTTATTATAAAATTAGTAGGCATCAGAAGTTTTAGTGTAGGTCAGCAAGGCGGAAGTTGAGGGCATTAGGCAATGATTGATACTACTTAGAAATTTTCAAAATATAAGGGCTTCACTGTGACCAAAAGTGGAATTGACTATGAATCTGAGATCTTTAATATTAAAATAATCTAATATGAAATGTAATTTTGTTGGTACATTTAAATGCTCAGATTAAGGGAGAGCATGTCTTTTTTTTTTAATGAAAATTTGCT